AGCCCTAAGAAATTCATGATGGACCCTCTTGTGTATCTAGGATTCTGAGTCAACTTGACAGACAAACAGGGCAAGTCAAGAGCGGCGAGAAATGTACAGTTCCCGGGAGGTAGAGTTAATTTAGGTTTCCGCGCGCCGACTCTTTTTTTAAATTAAAATTTTCAAGGAATTTGCCCACAGATACGCACTGATAGTGTGGTCGAGTTCTTTTACCTCCTACCTTGCAATCTGTGGATCAAGGTTCCCCGAAACCCCCCTTACGTTTCTTGTGCAAGCAACGAAAGAGTTTGCAATCGCTTGAAAAGGCAGTTCAAGTATTGGTTACCATTCTCCATGTTGAGCCTATTTATGGTGCCGAGTGTTGGCGGATCTTGAAGAGGTATTCTCTGTGCTGTTTCCCCGCTGGATAGCGGAAGGCTGCCTCGAGAAACTATTCAGCGTTCCGCTGAGTCTCTAAAACCTATAATTCACTTCAAATGTGTCTTGAAATTATGGGTTCGGTATGCTTATCATGCATAGGGTGTTTCGCAAAGTTACTGTGCAGAGATAAAGTTTAGATCTCTTGACATGTACGGGGGTCTAACAAAAGTTCTTGGAATATAAATTGAAATGGCGTATGACTGAGATGCAAAACAATCATTCAGAAAAAAAACATTCTTCGTTACATGGAAAAAATTCAGCCGTGTTGGACGCATTTCTTGTCTTTTTTGTTGTTGTTGCAAAAGTCACCCTGGCAACTTTCTGCTCATCACCTAGGTGAGGCGCCCATCTCGCAGATTTTTTGGCGCAGCCCAGCTTATGCAGAATTCTTAAAATGCAAGTAACATTAATTCCAAGGGTTTTCTCCAATGTAACTCCGCCATTTTCATTCACTGCCTTGAGATGAGAATGTGAAGGCTGTTTAGGCGGCTATGGGTGAAAGTGGCTGAATCAATAATCAATTGATGGCGGCAACCCTTGGAATTGATGCTTAGTAAATTTCAATAATCTTGAAGGGAAAGCTGGGTTACACGAAAAAAGTGTTACAGACGCCTCATCTTCAAGTGAATATCAGCAAGCTGCCAGGCTGACTTTTGCAAAAATTTCTTTTAAATTTGTAAAACAGGGCTAATTTTTTTTGTGCCAATTTTTTTCTCTCTGAAGAATAAGTATGTTTCAGCTTAATTTTATGCCGTTTCAATTTGTATTCCGAGAACATTACCCTCGTAAACTGCCGGAACATTCTTTCATGAAGCACTTGTGCGTGAACTGAACGTATTCTGCGAAATAAACCGCAATATTTTGCGTGAAACCACTATTCTGAAAGCTTCTCTTGATTAACTCGTGAGCAGCAACTTTTTGTGCACGCTTTATGAAAATCGATGAATTTCCGTCTCGTGTCGTGCATACGGTGTCCCGCAAGTGAATTGCGAAGCATGTATGGATGCAGCGCGGCTAGAAAAGTCTGGAAATCAAATGTGGTCTGCCAAGTGCAGTCATGTACCCTCGAAGGATGTCCCATCAGGTTTGCTACCCCTAGCATGGGCAAAACCATGCATGCTTTCACGCTTCTAAGCTATCAGCGAAAGCGGCGGGGAAAAACGAGTCTTGGACTGCTCTGCTTATGCCGAAACTAGGGCGTTGCCCTCTGTAAATCAACGAATGCGTTATACAGTATGTATGTATAAAATATATATTAATGTAACTGCAGGGGGGGAAAAAAAGATGTTCCGGGGATTTTCCCGGAACATGTTCCGCTTTTTAGCGGGATTGATGACGGGTTCCTGCTGACCGGGAAATTCAGCTGAGGGGGGGATGCAAGGAGGCAATGGCTTTTCCCGTTCATTCATATCCATGGGCGGTGACGTGCCACCGCACGGGCGCCTGACACTTTTCCGCGTGCCGTCGGGGGACACTATTTCGCCCGTATCCTTCTTGCTGTGACTAAAGACCTTCCGTCGCATTGTTCCCTGGAGGTTGACCCAGCGAAGCATTTTCAAGCTTGCCACGATTATTTGAGCCTCGAAACTGCACATGCTGAAAGACCGGAAATACTGTGTATGGTATAGTCGAAACACTTGAAAGTGGAAGTTCAAGGGACCTGAAAAAAAGCTTTGAGTTGAGATTTCGAGTTAGGGGAAACACGCATTTGCGTTGGAGGGAACATTTTATTGGTGATATTCCGGGCCTTAAATGGGTAGAGATGATGCTGAACTTGAAGGCATGGGTTTATTTACCCAATTAATCTTTCATTTCCTTTCAAAACACATTACTTACATTTTATTGCTTATCCCTTTCGTGTGTCATTAAAAAAAATAGCCAAAAGACATCCGTAAAATTCCAGTTAAGGAGGTTTGAGGAGTAAAGCCATTGAGTGAGGAAGGCTTTAATGGATTGCTTCTATAGGTATTCAGACAGGGACGTTAAAAAAAATCGAAATAGGGATGCATTCGAGTTATCGAAGTTCAACTGTACTGTGTTTCGGTACAGGAATTGTGCAGTGAAAATTCGTAATGTATGTAAATACAGTACTGTATGAAGTACAAGGACCGTCAGTCATAAGTAACGAGTTCCCATTTTCTGAAAGATTACATTATTGCTCGGTCACAGACGCGAGAACCACTTTTCCTGAGATTTTACGAGCTTGTTCCGACTTTAAATTGATTTTTTTTTAAACTGTGATAGTATTTCACTCGATCGATTTCGTGCTACAAATGGTCGTGGCGAAAAATTTGATGTGGAGGAAGCTCCGTGTACAGTATTTAACTCTGTAAATATGGCTCTAGAACATTTTTTATCAAGAGCAGGTAAAATATCCACTGTCATGGAGTGTGCTATCGTAAGAAAATTGTCTACCTTCATTCTGTAAGTGCAGTGAAGTTTCTATTTGTTTGGTTGATTCAAAATTATAGATGCTTCCGTAGTTCATGAAAAATTGAAGCACAGTACAGTACTTCATTATGACGGCAATGCATTCGTTAATTTTCAGCGAATATTGCGTTATTCAGTGCCGTCGGTCATGTTTGCTTGGTCGTAAAGATTCCGTGTGATGGTACTGCATTTGAAATTTCGTCAGATGTGAAATTGTGAATGCTGAAGTGGATGTTTGCGGGGATTAGGATCTTGCCGTCCATGGCAGTTGAAGATGAATGCTCTTCCTGTCTTGCGATCATGCTCTTCGTTTCCAGTTTATCATTTCGTTTTTCCTTTAGTTTCATCGATATTCCAGCATTCATCTTGAGTGCTTTGGTCCTTGTCATGGTCGCGGAACGTATTGCGATGAAAATATTTCCCCGAGTACTGATGCATGCTGTGAATACAAAACCGCGTTTTTTTTTTGTACGGCTATTCCATTTATGGAAAGTGGATGGTTTATTCAGTCCCGTGGTTGTCCGATGATTATTTAATCTGGTATCCTGAGTACCAGATGGTTTTGACATCAGCTTCAGGAGAACGACTTCCTGGAGAATAATGTCGTATTCCGAGCCCCTTCGCAATTGAGGCGTTTCGTGGTTTGTGTCTGTCTCGTTCTCTTGCGATTATCTCATCAGGATCCCACGGTTATTCAATTTTTTTCGTGCTGCAAGAGTTGGTTGCACTGTAGTTGGCTTTCAAATATGCGGTGTGAGTTCTTTTGAATTTTTTTTTTATTAATTATACTGTATTCTCTAATTTAATCTTCTGGAGTCCTTCAATATTCACGATATCTTTTCAGTTGCGTCTCCTGCTGTTTCTTTCTTGTCGCCTGTGAAATTTGCCTCCTGGTGTGCTTTCTTCTTTTTATTATTAAAACCAGGATTCCCGCTGTTGTTTTCGGTGACCTATTTTTCCGCTTTTGTTTTCCGTGAGGGAATCCTTCACGTGACGGGGTCTTACTTTCGGATTCACTGAAATTTTGGCAAAGGCTTGAGTACTCAATGAAGCCGTTGAAGGACACAATGATGCGCTTCATCAACATTTTGTTTTCATCGTGGTTGTGTAATCGGTAGTTTTTCGATGTTTCGGTCTCCGGTGTTGTGGTTTTTTAGCAAATTTTCTGCAGTGCCAGGCAATGGAAAGGGGGAAGCTGGGAAATGCTGGGTTCATTTTGCGGAAAGAAAGAGGAAGACCGAGACGAATAGGTTGTTTAAAACTTTTCTCATTTTGTTGAAGACATGGCAGTAGCAGGGAAATGAGTAACGTGCTGAATTTAAATCGGTTTTTCAGTGGCTGCCGGGGGTCGGAATGAGCTGCGGAACGGAATTCTCTCCCAGGAGGGGTTTTCGCGAACTTCATTCAGCGATTTCTCTTCAATTAAATTTTTTTTAATGCCGAATTAGATTATTCGGGAGAAAGCTTGTTTGAGCGTCATATTATATTCGAACCGGGATTCGTACCGACCTATTTTTAAAACATGTTTATCGATGGAGCGTCACCCTTTCGTACCCATTTTGAATATTGTCGAAATTACTGCCACGTCTCCTCAAAAATTTTAATGCAAGTGCCTATACAATAAACTGCCTTCAGAAAGATTCCCTGGCAGTAGTGTGATAATGTATCCGGTATCACATCAATAGTTTCATTGAAATTAATTATAACCTGAGGGCATTGAAGTGGCAGTCTAATTCGGGATAGTCGACGAAACGGAGTAGGAAATATACCCTGCATTTTAGTCTGAATTCAGCTTCTCGAAGTCGATATATCTTTGCCGCTGGATATTTGAGCAAAAATTTGCTACTTTACCCTGCAGATATGTTCAAGTATTGAGGGAAAAGCTGATGGGAGACCTGTTCTGATTTTTCCTTTCACCTTCATCTACTGTACTAGAGAAACCGTTGTGGAGCATAAAGTACAGTGATGTGATACCGTACCTCGTGGCTCACGGCGTTGGCCCTCAATCCGGTTCCTACGAGCACCATTCCAAAACGAAAGAAATGGTTTTCTTACCGCGCTATAAAGAAAAAAAAGAAAATGCATTCCACTAAGACCGAAGCAAGTATTAATCGTCATTTTGTGTTATTTGTCTGCGATCTTTGTGACAGAACCGTGGCAACGGACGCGACATGAACGTGAAGAAGGCTTGGGCGGAGAACCTCACGGGTCAGGGCATTGTGGTCACGATATTGGACGACGGGCTGGAGAAGGACCATCCGGACATCAAAAGGAATTACGTGAGTGTCACGAGTTTTTGCGGCATCGTTGTTTCTTGTCAGCGTTAACTGTCGGGAACAAACTCTGCGGATGAGTTCGAGAAGCTGCATTTTTCAGCATTCCCGCGTTTTCCTTCGTTTCGATTCGGGAACATGTGTCTTCAATTTCTAAAGTTTCAGGCTCCTTTCGCGAGTAAAATAACTTCGTAGTGGGTTGTACTGCAGCACTCGAAAACACCGTGGAATCGGAAATAACTCCGAACCTTATTTCTTGAACTTGGGGAGAACTGATTATTTCAAACGAAGATTATGTGATAAAAGGAGAAACGTATTTCCTGCAAGGTATGTGCCATGTCCCCTTTTACAGTGCTTTTTACCTTGATTCTGAAAAAATATTAATCTTAAGTTTCAGGCCCGTTATAGCGGGTTGTAATGTAGCACTGAAAAACACCGCAGATTCGGAAATAATTCCGAAATTTATTTCTTGACATTAAAGAGAACTGATTATTTTGAACGAAGATTCGGTGATGAATGAGAAACGTTTTTCCTGAAAAATATGTGCCATATCCCCTTTTTTAAATTATAGAAAATTTCTGAGCGCAAAAAGTTTGTCTTGGACTTACTTTATTGGCCAATAATTCAGATTTTCGGAGTACTGTAATGCCTCGAATAGGGAGGAACAAAAATCAGAAAAATGACGAATTCCGAGGTTTGGAGTCCTTTTCGGTAACTTTTCCTTTGTTATTGTCTCAGGCATTATGGGGTTCCTAATCTTAGAATCCAACCAGTTTCTCTGAATGCGTTGAACCGAAAAACATTTTTTTTTTTCGGGTTTCTTTGTAACATAATTCTACCTGGGATGTGAAGAAACCACCATCAGCATTGAAATATATGCAACACGAGTCTGCGTATCGAGGGAGCCTCGAACAATTGCCTCTGTTCGTGCTTAGTGGAATCAAAAGTTTTCGTCCAAGAAGAAAACGCTTGTTTCAATTTCGACACCGAGTTTCTTGTGAAGCTATAGGAACGGATTGGTTGTCGTGTGGAAAGTGTCGGTCGTTCGGTACAACGTGAGCCGGACATTTCACGCTTCGATATCCATCGTCGCCCTTTCTGCGTGACCTTTTGCTTTATTCATTATCTCCTCGGTAATATCCTCGCTGAAGGACTTTCTTTCGGGTCGAAGTTGACATTAGAGTTCACGCGTAATTCGGTTCCTGCTTTTTCGAAAGCAAGGAGAAACGCTGTCCCGTCTTGACAAGCAATCAATATGCATGAAAGTTTTTTTTTTCCTTCTTTCGTCGCCATGTTTCCTGGGTGTGTCACACAGGTGTCGCCTGACTCGTTATCCAGACCAGAAAGTATCCCAATCCGTCCTAATTTGTTTCAACCGGGCCTTGCATGCAGTAATTCCTCGAAACGTATTCTGACCGCATTAAAATAATTAATGTACAGTAGTGATGCCCGAATCAGGTGTGGCCAAGGGCCTCATTGCAGAGATGGAGAGTCCTTGCGGGTAAAGATGGACAATAATTTTTGAGATCCCGAATTTTCCCCTTTTAAATGACGTTTCAAATTCAATTCATTGCCATGCATTGAATCACAAGCATTGCCTTATAGAATTTTTGAAGGGTGGAGTATCATTTGGAATTTTTAAATTGATCGTTTGATGCAAATGTTTAATAGTGGTTGATGCCAACTTCATAAGTATAGAGAAGGGACTGCGGGACGGATGCTGGGCAGCACTGGTGTACAGTGCCTGGAAAAAATAAGTAATACTGTATTTACTTTATTACCACGTGCACCTTTTTCCTGAAATTTGAGAGGAAAAAAAAATGGGGTGCATGTCATAAACAGATATGCATTTTTCCAAAATTTTTAGCAAATTAGGTGTGCTTCATTCTTTACGGAAATTTTGGACCAAGTTCAACAGAGAAAATCACTTTCATGGAAAAATTTAAAATTTGTAAAAATGCATGTTCAATGCGTGTATAAATTCATATTTTTGAAATAGAGTTTTGTGGCTTTAGAGTACAGTAATTGAAAATGTGGTTTCCGTCTTACCTGGGGATAGAATTTCATTCCAATTTCAAGCTGAAAACCCCTGGTGCGAGTCTTACTTGAGGTACACGAGTAAATCCGGTGTTCTGTTTGTCAGTGTTCAGGTGACACTTATGCAAGAACAAACTTATGCGAACAAAAGTATCTGGTCATGGACATCGAACGTCGCAGGAAAATGAACCTTGGGTACGAAGTTGTTCGTCTTGCATGAGAGTTTATCATGAGTATTCCCCGCCTTGCGCCGAAAGAGTGCTTGAAAAGTTGTTTTACTTTTTATTTTTTTGCTGCGAGTCTTCTGTTAACGTATTGGCCTTTCCGACTTGAATGGCATGGAATGCTATTCCGTCGACGAGCACCCTGGGTGTTAATTCGAGCGTTGTCGGAGGCGCCCCTGCGAAATCCCGTAGCAGCCCCCCTTTCTTTTCTTTTTTTTGCGGGACTGTGACTTGGAATCGGATCACATCAGCCTACGCCTGTCGCAAGTTGCGACGACCTGAGTGAGGAGTATGGCAGTCTGTGGGCTGGGTCATAATTCAATTCGCATCCGACGCCTGGAAAAGCGAGTGAGTGAATGAATTCAGTGTGAAATCGCGAGCCTTAGTCCCTTCGGACTCGGCTCGATGCCGTCGGAGCCCAGTGAGGTGGATAAGTCACGCGGGGCTGGGATTTTCGATCTTTTTTTGGTGCTCTGTACCGTTTTCCGGACATCGCCGTGTTTACCGACCACCTGCTGGGTACCGAGTACTTACAGGGGTACGACCGGCAGTGGAGTATGCAAATTTCCGCTGTGGCGCGCCATTTTATGCAAAAAAATGTGTATTAAGAAAATAACCGCCTCGGGAACCAAATGCTATGATTTTATGCATTCCAGATTAGATTTAATACTTTAAATAATAAAGGAGTCTGTCGCAAACGATAATTTTTGAGAAGTACTGTCAAGTATTTCGGTCTGTCATTTCTTTCAATGGAGAAAATATAAATTCTGAAAATAATAACTGCATACCTTTTGTAAAATTTCAATTTACTGTTCTTCAATCAAGTTTTTGTCCTGTGAAGTGAAAAATCGAAGATTTACTCCAAAGACCTTCGAACTACGACACGGGAATGAGTTGACTTCTCAATCCGAATATCCACAAAAATTTCTTGCTGTTTTTACTCCAACATGGACGTGCAATGTCATCCTCTTTTTTTAATGCCGAAATTTGCAGATCAGAGCTTCCGTGATATTTCTTCGAACAAAATGCTGCGCATTTTTGGATGAATTTTTGCTTGGTCCATAGTTGAATTTCGACCGTAAAACTACCGAATTTGTTTTAATGTACGAGCGTCATACATCTTGATCATTGAATGGGAAAAAATTTATTGTGCGTCATAACATGATATCGGATTTCCCGGAATATTCCACGGCTGAGTGAATTCACTTGTGCGAAATATTTTACTCAACTTCAAATTTTGATGAGCTTCCTGCTTGGTGCAGTTTTATAGGTTGCATTTTTCTTGCCTCGCGTTTTTCAACCCGGTCATCCGATTTTTTTATTGTAAGCATCCCACGACATGAACTAGGAAGATATATTTTCCTGCGAAAACGATAAAATTTGGTCCAGTGGATCTTTTCTCGAGGGGATAGTGGGACGTGCTTTTGCAGAAAAAAAAAATCATGCATCTAAATAACCTCATGAGTCTCGCCGGCAAAATTCGAAGGGATGGGTGCAGACTGAAGTATTTAAAGGCTCGAAAGGAAATGTCGTTTGTAAGGCTAATCTGGTCGTGGATGCATCAATGGGATATTGCCCATTGGGAGAGCAAATGAAGGAATTTCTTGTGTCTTTGCCAGAAAGAGACCGAATGTTAAGCGAGGGCATTAGGGAAATGGCTTGTACCGGAGTTGCCTAATGGTTTATTATTTACTAGCTCACTGTGGGCAATGCGACAGAAAACTGGGTCAGGATGAGATGCGACGCCTCGAATCGGAACCATGGAATAAAAGGAAGAAACTGTTCCAGTGGACTCCCGAGATTTTTTTTTCTTTCTGCCTCACTCTGGGTCGTATTCTTAGCTGTTGAGATGCTCTGTAGAGCTTGGACAACGGAATCGCTGCTATTGTCGTGGCAGATTACTTTTCCCCTTAGCTCCGTATGTAAGTGTGACCGCTCAAATCAGCGCCGTGCAACTGAGCGCCGGGGAAAACTGAATGCCATCATGTGGAGCATCTCTGTGTACATGGTAAAATTCCATTACAAACAGGAAGACTTTCTCTGCAACTATTTTCACTGTACTGTTTAACGATTTGTTTGGTCTCATGGGGGTTCTCTAAAACAAAAACAAATTTCTTCTGGTCCCTTTTTTGGTAGAGAGAGAGTCCACCTGTGTAAAAAAAATATCGTTAAAAATTGTTTTAAAAATTGTGCCAGGCTCCCAGCAGTTTCTTCATGGGAACCGTGCTGTACAAAGTTAATTAACATCCTTAATCTCAGTTTAAATAATTTTCGCTGAATATTTGCTTGAGCCATAGTAATTTTTACTGCAGTATTCGGCACGAAAATGGGAATTTCCAACTTTTGCAGCATTGCAAATTAATTTAAAAATTACAAATACCAATATTTTTTTATAAAACTCATTGTTGCAGAAAGTATGAAGCATCATGTTCTCGTAATATTCTAATTTATTCAGAATTTGGAAATGACTCCTTCCTTTCGAATAAGTACCGGTGGTATGTTTGAAAAGCAATCGCTATATTCAATGGAGAATGGAGTTCTAAATAAAAATCAGGGCGCTTCTTTATTATGTATTTAGCGTTTCAGTTCGCACTTCAGTAAGATCAATGCATTCTTGAGATATTTGAAGCAATTTGTTTGCAGGCTTAAAATAAGAGGTGTGCTTTACTTCTTGAATTTTCATTCTTTCGTTCAGAAGAGTCAGAAATGCCAATTCATTGTAGAAGAAGTTATTACATGTTTCCC